GAATGCATTATAACATGTTATGAATGTGTTTATAGATGCTTACAAAGGTGACATTCATAGAAAGTGTTACCGAAATTTCTTCCTAAGAATGATTAGTGAATGCGGCGCATTATGTGTAAATTTCTGTATAAATCAATCATGATGAAAATCCATGTTTGACATGAAATCATTGTAGAAAAACCTACTCCGATTTCTTGACAGTGGTGGTGAAAGGAACCAGGGGTTGTGAAGTTTATGACACAAATATAGCCATTTTATTTACTTTCCAAAACCACCAGTGAACCTACACGTGTCTTCTGAGTTTTATGTTATATTGACAATGGTAAAATAGTCATGAATCTGAAAAAAATAAGTTTTCTTTAGGGACTATTTTGCCTCACAATACCTTAAGTGTACCTCTTCAACTTGAATGGATTTTAGGCCCTCACTTTATCTCAAAACAATCTTACAACAATGTCTCGGGCATCCGTTAGCATTTTGTGACGCAGCTTTTAGAAATATTAATCTCTTTGGACATCTGGTTCCTATCACCACCACTGTGAACAACTCGGTTAGTTTTTCTAGAATGGAGGGAAAACAGCAGAATTCCCATTTAAGACCATCACAGAGCCATAACACAGCAATACAGCAGTTTGAGCTCAGGCCAGAGCCAAACACCTACAGTATATCTATGATAACATGTACTAAAGAGATTTTCATCTCCAATAAAACACTTTCGATGTTTAACCCCTTAAAATCTCAGGCTTATTACATACTAAGGCTTATTATTGAGTAATAACAGGGACTCCAGTGCAAACTGGCTGAGTTATTCTTAGGTTATACAAGTACAAATCGTTGGGCCTGCTGGTTAAAGCAAGGGCTTAAAGCCACCTGTAAATAATGAAATGGGAAGGCTTTCCATGATCCTTCACCTAAAGACGAAAGCTGCATGCAACACAACACAGCCTTAAAATGACTCAACAGGTCACTAAAAGTCATCTTTGATAAAAATCTGTTGTTGCTAGAACTTCATAACCTTTTGTCGTCATGAAGGACAATCTTGTCCAAGTGCTGCTTAGGCAATCCCCCCCCCACACACTCATTTTAATGCAAGATGTTCTTGCATGGTGGGCCCAAGAAGAGAGGGCCAAGCACTGAGCATGTTTAATTGAACCCTGAAATAAAAAGATTTCAACTTTATTATGACTATTAGACTTCAGGTCATTCGCCGGCCTGCCAGGGGCTTTCATCAGAGGCCAGTTTTTTGTGTAATGGCCTCGGCGCAATTATACGAGACTAGATTCTGCGCGTAGTCGCTGACTAGTTGCTATTCATAAGCCGAAATACGCAAAAGCGATCCAAATCGTTTCTCCCCCTGTAGACATACAAACATTGCCTCAGCGCTGTTCAAGGTCCTGAATTCACTGTACTTGGTAGTCTGTCCAGGCTGCTCTTGTGCTGCCTTGAACAGCAAAGCCGTAGAAGGGGGTTCACGGCCTTATAAACTAAATTAAGCAAGCCAGTCCTGTAGTAACCCAGTTTTACACAGGTGCTACAAATCTGTAACAAATCTGCAACAGAGACTAATTCTACGGCATCATAATTAATCCGTTTGGAGTTTCAAGTCTTCCCTCGGACTCATCCCAGCGCCTTGTTTAGACTGTTCGGAATATAATCTGATCCAGACAGACTACAAGCACTTGTGTTTATCAAACATGCCGCCGTATCAGGTCCCGGGGCAAGCACTTTGTTCCATCTGAGCCTTTTTGAATTTGGTGACCTGTACTGTAAACAACATGATAAACGTAGTAAACCCTAAACCTCCGTGCTTCGAAATTTAGACGCAAAGAAAAACAACAGCAGTCTCGACCCGTGCAAAACAACAGCAACGACAACAACAACAAGTGAGGGGAAAAAAACAGCTGCAGCCAGCGCTGGATATTCTCTCAAAACAAGCGGATGTAAACGGCCTTATGCCTCGCTTCTTACAGGCACGAATTAGATTTAAAAGATTAGGTATTACCACATTTGCCCCTAGAGCAACGTAGGCTTACGTAGGCTCCTTTTTTTCCCAAGCTCCGCAGATATTCAACGACGGGAGGCAAAACAATAGATTAAGTGCATGCCGGTACACGACAGGGCTGTTGAACAGTGTGTCCGGATTGCTCTCTTAAAGGACAAACTGTTTGACAAACATGTGACTCAATTGTGAAATTGCCCAGGGCCGTTCTGCAACCGCCAATATCTCGAGAGACGTTCTCTTCTCTTTTTTTTTTCCCACTCTCTTCAACAAGCCTCGTCGTCTGTGCCTGAGCTGCTACAAGTTTCAGAAAAGATGACATCATCCCTGGGAAAAGAGCAGGCTGGTGAGGAATATTGCCCTCAGATTTGTCACTCTGTCCATCATTCCTTCAGTCATCACCCGAAGCTTCAAATGCAGAACTTATCTGCATATTGGAGCTGGAGTAGGTAAAATACATATAGATAAATATATATGTTCTTAAAATGATGAAAGCCTAAGCAGGTTCCTGTCTGCTTGGTTTGTGTTTTGAGACGGCTACGCCCTCTGTCGGCACGGGATGGAATGGAAGCCAACGGAAATCCCGCTTGCTCTCCACAGCACAGACACAAACGCGCTTGTAAATCACTCTGACTGAGCAGTGTTTTAGTGCAGGGCTCAAGATGGCACAACCCTGCTTTTTCCTTTCCGAAACCCACGTTAAAACCTTGAGTGCTGTCCGATACGGATGCCAGTCGGATTTCTTTTCTTTGGAACCTACTAAGCTTTAAAATGAGCTGGTTTTGTCGGGAGTGCCTCGCTTATCGAGACCCTAAAAGTATTCAAACAACCGGAAAACTGCACACATACATGGCATCACTCAACGTGATTTCAAGCTACAGGATTTGAATTCCTGCTGAAATTGGGCTGATCTTGATATTGGTGCCATTTCTAAGAAGTATGTTTGATCTTTGCACAAAGAGTCAAGCTGCTCTACAGTGGAACAAAAGCAGATATTGTGCACGGTTGCACACCCTAAATATACTTCTGGACAGATCAAAGAGGTGCGCTGGCCAAACAGCACTCCCGCCTCATTTTTCCGCTCAAAGCTGCTGCGGCTCGGACTCTCTGAAAGCTCCCGGGGTTGCATGTGGCTGAGTGCGAAAGTTTCTGCTTTTAACATGGGCGGGAAAACCCTGGAAGTCCAGCCTCCCTCCCCCTCTCTCTCTCACTCTCTCTCCCTCTCTCTCTCTCTGTCTCGCGTACAAACTCACTCAGTTCAGTCGGTGTCAGCTGTCTGCGGCGAAACACTGAGGCAAGTGTAGCACATCCACTGAGTTAACTCCTTAGGCACATCCAGACTTTTGTAAAGCACTTCTAGAACGTAAGAATAGCTCACTTAGGTTTTCATTACTGACAAATAAGCCTGGGAATTAAACCAAAGCGAATGCATGCTCAGTGTTAACCTTCCTGCGTCTCATTTAGTCTTAAAGAGCTGTTACGCTTCATGCAAAAGCACCACACGCACACTTTGGATTACCACACACTGGTTTTGCCCTGCTGCACACCTTTTACATTTACTTACATTGACTTACCATTACCAGACATACTCGTTGCAAACACTATTTGCAATGCCGCAGGCATTTCTTGCATGCCCGCACACCCTCTCAGCCTAACACCCTGCCCTACGCGCACACTTGCGTGCGTAAATCCTCCGATGGGGCTCGGAGCCTGGCAAGCAGCGCTCGAGGTTCCACACTCCCACCTCCACCACGTCCCGGATTACGCCTCAATCCCACCCGCTCCTCATCTGGATCACATCTGCAGCAGCGTTTCATGCGCAAAAGCCAAACTTTTGTTTTGCTCACCCAAAGTGCCTTTCTGCGCTCCCGCTCACTTCACCACCACACACAAACCACTCTCGGCAGCGTGCATCAAGCAGATTCGGACGTCTACCAGAAAAAAGCATATCGCATCAACCGCGCTATTGCGAAAAGTAAACAAAGTGAAAGACAATCTTGTGTTGGTGCAATACGGCTCATTCAAGGGGAAATGTCAACATCGTGAAGACTGGAAACACTGGAATCAATGGGCTGTTTTGCTCAGAACACCACAGTTTAACCAATGCCAGTGCACACTTATTTACACGACTGCAGTTTTTCCAGTGCACTTTTAGCCAATGCACTATTAATTCTTCCATGTGCTACGGTTGCTCGGAACACTCTTCTCCAGCATGTTATTTATCCAGTGCAGGATTTTGCTCAGTGCACTTTTGTCCAGTGCATTTCTAGAACACTTTTTTATCAAATGCACAGTGTGCAATGCACTATGCTTTTACAGTGCATTCGGTGCATTCTTATTTATCAATGCACGACAGTTTTTAGTGCACTTTTATTTATCCAGTGCACTACAACCTTTTTAATATAATACAGCTGTTTGGCACATTCGCACATTCCCAGTGCATTATTTATCTTTATCCAGTGCACTATTTTGTGCAGTACACTTGTATCCAGTGAACTGTTTTGCGCAGCACACTTATCCAAAGCACTGTAGTTGTCCATTAAGCTCTAATTTATCCAGTGCACTCCAGTTTTTAGTGCACTTTTATTTATCCAGTGCACTATTACTTTTTTTAATGTAATACAGCTGTTCGGCACATTCACATCCAGTGCTTTATCTTTATCCAGTGCCCTATTTTGTGCAGTACACTTTTATCCAGTGAACTGTTTTGCGCAGCACACTTATCCATGGCACTATAGTTGTCCATTACACTCTTATTAATCCAGTGCACTTTTATTTATCCAGTGCACTATTACTTTTAATGTAATGCTGTTCGGCACATTTGCATCCAGTGCTTTATCTTTATCCAGTGAACTAATTTGCGCAGCACACTTATCCAAAGCACTATAGAGGTCCATTATGCTCTTTTATTATCCAGTGCACTGTAGTTTTCAGTATGTTATCACTTCTTCAACGCACTACTGTCACTCCATCTCACTCTTTATTTATCCAGCGCACCTACCTGCGATCACTGCGCGTGGCCGTTGCCCCCCCTCAGGCTTCACCCACATGCTAAGGGTGAAGTTGCCCCTCGGGACGTCCACCGCTGGCCGCAGGCGCAGCTGGTCTCCCCGGCCCCCGAACCTGACCGCGCGGCTCCTCTCGCGCTCCTCCTGCCCGGGCTCACCGCCTCTCCTCCTGCCCGCTCCCCCCGGCGCGCGCCTCTCGGGTCCGGGCGCGGACCGCTTCCCGCGCGGCAGGCGCGTGCCGCAGGCTCCGGGCTGCGAGTTGAGCGCGGCGGCCACGGCGGCCTGGCGCGCGTGGGCCAGCTCCCTGCTCACCCGGCCGTTCCGCGCGCACACGCACACCGCCAGCACGGCCAGGCACGGCAGCACAGCCCAAACTTTCATCGCTTTTTTTTCTGTCTGTCTGTCTTTGTTTCTTTCTTTTTCCTATTCGGGTCTCCCTCCTCCAAACAACGCGCGAGGAAGGAGGAAAGGGGCACGAGCGCGCGCGCGTGCGTCCACGGTGCTCCTCTTCCACCTCTCCAAAACTCCCTTTTTGGTAGTCTTTTATCAGCAGCAGAACTCGAGTCCACTCTCAGTGTCCACTCTCCTCTTTCTCCTCCTCAGGCCAGTTCATCAGTGCCACGGCTCGAGCTGGGTGTCCCTCTCTTAAACCTCCAAAAGTCGAGCTAAAGCCCCTCACGACGTTATGGGTAGCTACCGTGCTGATGTTATTCCATTGTTGCGTCCCCCCCCCCAGTTGAACACCTTTCACAACATCAAGGGTCCCTCGCGCTCTTCCTCCTCACTCTCGCGCGCTCGGCTTGGAGCAACAGCGGCAGTAGTTGATTCATTTATGAGCTCCACGTTGCCTTTCTGAATGGATCCAAACGGGAGGGGTGCGCGTGAGTGTCTGTGTATGTGTGTGGAGGGGTGGTGGTGGTGGCGGGTTGGGGGGGGGGTGTTGGGGGGGTGAGTAATAAGTAATCAATCAGAATGCCCCCCTCATTTCCCCCACCCTCCACTTCATTCCAGCTCCATTTATTTGCAGAAAGCCAGCTCGCTCGCCCTCCAAAGCGCCTTCTGTTTTTTCCTCTTCTCTTTCTTTCTTATCCAGCGTGAGAGAGAGAGGGAGAGAGAGAGAGAGAGAGACAGAGAGAGAGAGAGAGAGAGAGAGAAAACAATCAGCCAAACTTGTGTGTCAGGTGAGCAGAAGTTGAAACGCGCGAGAGCATCGCAGAGATCCTCGCTGGGTTTGGATAGGAGGAGGAGGAGGGGGAGGAGAGAGGGAGGAGAGAAAGGAGGAGAGAACAGAGGCTTTACGAGCACTGCGCGCGGCGAGGCTTCCTCACTCAGACCCTCGGGCTTAAGTGGTGGAGAGTGTTTGTTTCCTATCTCTCTCTGTCTCTCTGTTTCTCTCTCTCTCTCTCTCTCTCTCTCTCTCTCTCGAAGGGGGGCGGGGTTGGGGGCACACAGGTAAGCCCTGACAGGCGCCCTGTCTCGCTTCTCCAACTGTTGGCTGGTGCTGGAAAGTAGGTTTGTCGCCCTCTAGTGGCCACTGGCCGAACGGAGCTCTTCGTGTTTCAGTGGCTCATGTGCAACACTGACCACTCCACAGAGGTGGGCAGAGCGCCCACACGCCAATAAAAGTACTGCACGTCGGTGAAATAATGACGTATGTAAATGTAACAACACAAACAAACAAGTTTAAAACTGTCTGAAACTCTTCAAAGGAGGATTCTACTGATTATCCAGCATAATTAAGTGGTGAAGATGTGAAGGACGTTGTTCAGAGTGGTCTGGAGTGAAACACTCTGTTCTAGAAAAACCCACCGATTCAGAATTCCTCGCAGTGTTGGTGAAGTGAAGAGTTTAAAACCCAAACCCAAGGCATTAATAGATCTCTCTCTCTCTCTCTCTCTCTCCCTCTCTCTCTCTCTCCATTTATTTATTTATTTATATAAAATCATCATTTATAGCCCATGTGTCAAACACAAGACCCGTGGCACAATCCTATTTGGCCCACAAATCATTTTAATATTCTATTAATTTTAGCCCATTTCACCATGAACTGCACTACAGTTCCCAGCATGCACTGTAATGTCCCCAACAACTGTCTAAGGGACAGCACCACAAAACAACAACAAAAAAGATGCCAGGTGTCTAATTGAAGCAAATGCGCCGTTTTAACAAACCTACTGTACATTGTGGACAGTTATCTGCAGCTAATGTAGTCTATTGTTTTATGATGTAAATATATAAATCCTTAGACTTTGTTTTTATATGAAATTATTTTTGAATTGTACAATATTCAGCACCTGTTTTTTGCCATTGTAGTTTTGGCATATTTTGAACGAACAAAGGCCTGTTTGGGTCATGGCAAAATGTTAAGTAAAAACAAAATAAAAACACAGCTGGCCCACAGATTTGTTGGGGTTTTTTAATGCGGCCCTTTTAGTGGTTGAGTTTGACACCCCGATTTATAGAGTGCTTTCTATTGTAGGATTTCAGTCTCATGATTTTTCTGTTGTGGCCAACATATTTGGGACCAAATTTCCAGCTTTGCTGCTCTTCACGGACGTAACTTGAGGTGAATGATAGCTAAAATTACTCTCCTTACTTTGGAAGAAAAAAATGTTACCTCGACAAAGTCGATAAAATAGGCTGAGATCTTTATACAGTTTCCTCCTGAACTCCTGGTCCCACTTAAACCAGCAGAAAGCTACCAAATTAGTGTTTTCCTGACATTCATATTTATCTCATACTCAGCCCCTCTCCCTGTTCTGGAGAGTCTCTCACAGCATTTCAAAGCACAGAAGCCCACCAGCTCTTCACGTCAGGGTGGGTAAAGGACCCCATGGTGCTGCATAAAGAGGAGAAAATAAGGTTTCATAGGAGGGTAATGACATCAGCTAATTAACACAGATGTGATCAATGCTCGCCTTTAGATAACTTTAGCTGATGTTAACAGTCGAGAGATGAACAGTCGCCCCCTAACGGAGCTGCAGACAGCCGGTATAACTTTACTCTCTGTTTCTGGAGATTTAAATGAGGTTTGAATGGAGAAACATAAACGTTAAATATCAGACTGAATGTCGTGGGTCTGAAAACGACGTCGTGTTTCGACAGACATGATTCTGTAAGTTTGCTGGTTCAGTTAGTTCAGAGTTCAGCTCCAGTCCTGAAACCCCTGCACTGCATAACTGTGGTTTCCCTGGTTAAAATACCTGATATTATTAGCTAATTAAGCCCCTCTTGAGCTGAACGAGGTGTGAACAGCAGAGAGAAACACTAAACTATACAGTGCAGGGGCTCCAAGCCTGGAGTGAAAACACTGAATTGAAGGTCTGTGTGTCTCTCGTCTCTCGGCTTCTGTCGCGTCTTACAGATGAATCATTCACAAAGCACATCACGTAAAGAGATTCACTCCCTGATTTGGTCCTCAAAATGGTGTCAACTATACAGTGTGACGTCACGTGCAATGCAAGAATTGGCATGTGCCTAAATTTACACTTATGAAAATAATACTTTTTTTTTCTTTTTGATTTCTTTTAAAGTGAAGCTGCAGATGTAGATTAATCATGAGTTTCATTTTTAAAATAAATAAAAACGTTTTCAAAAAATGCTGTCCCACATTTTCATGTCACCACCGAAACCCAGAGTTTAAGTCCATAGGTGGAGCCTTATTTTAGCCACACACCCCCTGTATTTTAGAGCAGACTGCATCCCTGTCCCTCATGGCCACATGGTGGGCAGTCAGATCCCATTGTTTTGAAGTAAATGTGTCACAAAGTCTGAAAATCAGTGTGGAACATTAAGAATTGCACATTTTCTGCAATAAAGTAACTTTTTGTGTTTTAATAAAAAAAAAGATGGTTTTGTTGGTTCAAAGTTGTGTTTTCTTGTCATGTAATGGCGAGCGTTTTTGAGTTCTGCTCAAAAATAGCTAAAATTGTCACCTCTGAAACATTTAGTAAAGCTTTGTCATGCTATGATTAAATGTACAGTGATGAAAGGGAAGGTTTAATCGTTCATCTTAACAAACTAGTAATAATTAAGGTATAGAGTCACATAAAGCAAAAGGATTTTGGTCTAAAGTCCAAGTCGGTTCAAAGTCTGAAATGTGTTTCAACTCTGACCTCGAACCAATTCAGTACTAATGACACACTCCAGCTAAAGGTGGAAAGGCTGAATGATATTTGAGTTAAAATAGACGTTTAGCTCACTCTTCTCACTCAGTGGACAAGCGAGAACACAACTATTTGACGCCGCAACAAAAAAAGGCAGCCTACTAGTAGAGAAATTCTGCCTGCTTTTAATAATAAATGAAATATTTTGCTTGGACTATGCAACATATTTTAATAGTATTGGACATGGACTCACATATTGAGACAATAAGAGTCAGAGTTCCTTTTAAGGCCTCTAAAAGCTCCCTCACAGGATGTCATTACATGAAGTGGTTATGAATACACTGTCTGATGTCTGAGACACTGTTTTATGATAGTTTGGAGGAAGGATTTTGGCCTAAAATGTACTTTTAAAAACCCATTCATGGTGGAGAGGTATGTGCAGGACGTTGTGAGGCAAAATAATCCTCAAGATTTCAGATTTACCACTATTTCACCATCATTAACATAACATAAAAAACTCAGAAGACAAATGTAGGTTCACCGGTGCTTTTGTGTGGTAAATAAAATGGCTATATGAATGTTGTAGACCGGTGGTCACCAACCCTGTTCCTACAGATCTACCTTCCTGCAGACTTTAGCTCCAACCCTAATCCTCTCCACCTGATCCATGTAAATACTACCTGCAGAAAGTCTCGATTATCTGAAGGTGGTGTGTTAGATTTGGGATGGAGGTGAAAGCAGATCTTCAGGAAGAAGGCTGGTGACCACTGCAGTAGACCCTGGGTTCCTACCACCACCACTGTAAAGAAATCAGAGTCAGCATGTTCCTCTACAATGAACCATCATATCAAGCCAATTTGAATGACTTTGGCTACGTTCACATTACAAGCCTCGTTGCTCAAATCCAATGTTTTACTCAAATCTGATCTCTCTGACATGATGGTTCACACTCGTTTAGGTAAGTGATTCAAATCTGTCATTAATATGACGGACCGCCGTCCTGAAATGACCCTCATGATCACATCCTACTCAGTAACGTCACATGACTGAATCTGGTTCATCATCAGCAAACAGAATAAAGAGCAGAACAAAGCTTTGCTGCAATATATGTCCATTTTGAATTGATAAGGTGGCAGCATTCCTGGATCCTGTTTATATATAGTTTCTTCTTTGTGTTTTTGAATTTTAACTTCTGTTTGTGGATGCAGTGATGAACTGTTTTCACAGACAGTGTGTTTCAGAAGTGTTTCTGATTCCATGCAGTGATTTCCTCTACAGAATCGTGTCTGTTTTAATGCAGTGCTGCCTGAGGGCCT